GGGGGGGGGGGGATATGGGGTGTATTTGGGTGGAATATGGGGTTTCCAGACACAAAATGCCTCTCTGGATCAGTGATGGAGTGGAGTGATGAGGAAGAAGCCTCGGCCAGGGGAGCAGGGGAAGGCTATTCCCTGCCAGAGCTCCCTGCATCCATTTCCAGAATGGCACAAACGTGGAAATTCCAGGGAACCTTCTCCTTTCTGAGGTTTAAAACTTTTGCGTCCAAGTGCAGAAGAATGAAGACAGGTCAGAAATGCAAACGAAATGTTTTGAGCGACACAAAGAGATTTTGGTGGTCCTGAGGAAGGTGGGAGGAAGAGAATTTGGGAATTTTCAGTTGTCTTTGGGAACTGCAAAATTATGGGGTTTGTTCCAAGGCAAGCTGGAGCCTGAAACCTTGAAACCTTTTGTGAGCTGAATTCCTGCTCTGAGCACACTTCTCCCTCTCGGGGCTGCTGCTTGGACTGAAACTGCCATGTTTCCATCATGCTGCTCATGTCGTGGAAGAGACCTGGGAAGGAAAATCAACCCTGGCAACTCAGTGGGGAGGGGGGGAAGAAGGAGGGAAGATGGGACCTGACAATCTCCCCAGAGCTCTGAGGGAAAAACAGACCTGGGCTCGCTGGCAGGGAGTGAATCAAACTCTATTTTTGCCTCCTAGCCCACGGTGAGCCTCATGGCACAAATGCCAGCTCTCATCATACCTTGAGCCCCACATCTGTGCTCCCTCTGCTGATGGCAGATGGCCTGAGCTGAGGAGCAGATGTGGTCACTCCATGGACAGACCCTGAGGGCACGGGGTGGGAGGAGAAGGCAGCAAGGAGAATTCCCCTGGGGAATGCAGACCGTGGGGGCAGGGGATGGAGAGGAACTGATTGTGTGCCCACAGCAAATTATGGATCAATCAATCAATCAATCAATCAGCCACAGGATGGATTGGAAGGGACCTTAAAGAACATCCAGTCAGGGTGCTCCCAGCCCCAATGTCCAGCCCCAATGTCCAGCCTGGCCTTGGGCACTGCCAGGGATCCAGGGGCAGCCCCAGCTGCTCTGGGCACCCTGTGCCAGGGCCTGCCCACCCTGCCAGGGGACAATTCCTAATTCCCAATATCCCATCCAGCCCTGCCCATTTTGAACCCAATCCCTTTATCCTGTCCCTCCATGCTCTTATAAGAAGTCCCTCTACATTTCTCTTGTAGGCTCCCTTCCAGTTTTCCTTGGAAGTATCACTGGAGAGAGCAGCTGGAAGCCCAAACCATCAGGTGTAGTTTAAATTGGTTTTACCAAAGCTCATCTTGAGCAAGGAGTTTTTGTCTCCCTGTGGACAAGCTCAGCATTGAGCCATCCCCTCCTGGCCTGGGAATGCTGTCCCAGCTCCCTGAGCCAGACTGGATCCAACAAAGTGCCCTAGGCTGGTGTGGTCAGCACCAGGCAGAGAGAAGACAGAACGGGATCAAGATCCATCGCAATCCCACCATCTCCAGCTGGATCAACAGCAGAGGGGAGACAGAACAGGATCCATCCCAACCCCACCATCTCCAGCTGGATCAATGGCAGAGAGGAGACAGAACAGGATCCATCCCAATCCCACCATCTCCAGACCAGGCTGGAGGTGTCCAGCTCAACCTTGAGCAAGGTTTCTCTCCCTCCTGGATGTGGGTACAGCTCAATTCCTGCACTATTCCTGCCTGGAGGAGTCAGGGCTGAGCTGCATCCATCTGACATTCCTCACCGAGGGTTTTTTGGCATTTCCTTGGCACCGACCAACACTCTCCCCAGCTACCCGCTCCCCATTGCTCCCTGACCTTTCTGCACTCCTCCTGCCATCCAAGAAAACTCGGAGTGCAGGAGACCTTGAGGATGCCCTGGCTCTGTGTGAGCCGAGCTGAGGAGATGAATCATGCCCAGCCCAATCCCACAGAAATGCCCTTTGCCCTGCACAGCAGCTCCTGACAGCTTCTCCCTGCAGTCAATCTTTCCCACATCCCTGCTCCAGCCTGGATCTTCTCCCTCGCACCACAAAAGCCAGGCTGCAGCTTTTCATCAAGCAGGAGAATTTGACTGAAAAGTGGATTTTCATCCCCAAGGTATAGAGATAACAAAGACTTTTTTAAAAAAAAATTATTAGGATATTGAAAACAAAAAAAAAAAAAAGAGATATTTTGGTGAAGTCCCCGCTTTGCTGCTTCAAGATCCTTCAGTTTAAGTGAAATCAAAGTGAAATCAAAGCATTTCTGTTTAATCTCTGAATAAAAGAGACTTCTCAGAGTAGAATCATGTTTTTCATCCCTCCCCATGGCTGGAGCAGAATTTCTTTGGAGATCCTGCGGCTGCTGGGATGAGGGACATGGTTTGATGGGTGAGGCTGCCCCTGTTCAACCCCAATATTTGGGATTGTGTCCTCTGGGCTGCCACCCCCAGGTCCCTGAGCCAAACCAGAGGGGATTTTGGAGCCTCCCTGCACATTTTGTACCCAGTCTTGACCCTTTCAAAGTCTCAATCCTTAAACCAGGCTCTCCCAGGATGGGATTAAATCCAGACAGGTTTTTGGAGAGTGTCCTGAGCTCGGGAAGGGGGTTAAATCCCTTCCCATTGCACAGCAGATTTCTGAATTTTCCAAATCCCAACAATTCAATTGAACAATTCTTGTTCAAAAAGTGAAGCTGGAGAGCAGCTGTGGTGGGGAGGGGGTGGCAGGAAGGACACCCAGACACCAGCACCGAGCCCAGCAGATATTTTTTCCCTCTGACTCAGTGTGAGCACCCTAACAAGCTTTGAGTACCGTGTCCTCCACGGGAAGCAGGAATAAATTGGGAGAGCAGGAACGACATGAAAACAACTGAAAATAAAACAAGGAAGGTGGAAAACACAGAGAGTGGGTGGGATTGGGATGGGAGCGAGCGGGAGCTCAGCCTTGGCTGGGAGCCCGTGGTGGGGACCCCGCTGTGGCTCTCCCCCCTTGTTTCTGATAAAGAAAAATGAACACAATGTTTTCCTTCTCCTAAGAAGTGTCTACAGCAAGAGAACCTGAAATTACAGAGAACTTGGCATTTCAGATCTTTCCGTGGCCGAGGCACGGATCTGCAGCTCCAGCAAACCCTCGGGGCTTTTCCAGCCAGTCAATAAGCGAGGGCAGCCACAACCCTGCTGCAGCACTTGACACTGCTAAAACGTGTTTGGGGACTTGGGGAAAAGCAGCAGGAAAAGGCAAGCTAGCAGTGTTAATGAACGGTCAGGAGGAGAGGGAGTTGGCGCTGAACAAACCCGGCTGCAAACAGCTCTGGAAAGCAGGAGGGACCCCGGGGAGCTGCCCCGGCTCTGGGAAACGCTGAGGAAAATCAGGAGCTGTGCCACTTCCCCCTCCTCAACAGGACATGGGACAAGCGTTGTTCACATCCCCACCCATGCACGCAAGTCCTGAAACAGCGATCTGGCTCTGGAGGAGCACGGGCAGATCCGTCCTGGCGTTTCCACAAGGATTGGCCATCCCGAGCTCCCGATAGGAAACATCTCCCTCCTGCCCCCAGGCTGGTCCCACTGCCCCCGCCCTGTCTTGGCTTCAGATGGAGCTGGACTGGGGCTCTCCTCCCCTCTCCCAAAAGGTCTGGGAGCTGATTTCTCCTGGGAAGCACCGTGCCCTGCTGGTCCGACCTTCCTCTCCCATTAAAGTTAAAGCAGATTTCAACTGGAGAGATCCAAGGCAGGACCACAAGGACAGGAATACCCTGGACCTTATTTGGCAGGTGAGGAAACTGAGGCACGGGGTTTTGCTTCAACTTAAAACAAATGGAATTGGGAACATGGAGCAGAGATTGATCCCAGCCCAGCCCGTGATCCACCACATCACACATCTCAGCTTTCCATGAGACATTATTCCTATCTCCCCAATTTCCCATGCTTAGATCTTCCTTCCACAATCTTCTCCCAATTTTTCATCTTCTCCTCACCAACCACTTCCCTCTTTTCCCCATCCCTTCCCCTCCATCTCCACCCAGCTGTGCCAGGCAGCAGCCAGCTGTGGAGAGGCGCTCAGCGAGCCAAAACCAGCGCGTTCCACCAAAGGTAAAAAATGTATTTAGGGAGACCTACCAGTCCACCTGGACTTCTATATCCCGTGTCTCTACCTTGCAGGGCGCATCTCCACCGCTGTCCTTACTGCTGCTGCTCTTCAGCAGGTCCAGGACGGGCTCGATCTCTTTGAGCAGCTCGTTGTCCTCCACGCCGCCGTTGAGGCAGGAGTGAGCACAAGCCCCGTCCTTGTCCCTGCCGCCGTCCTTTGCCCCTTTGCTGCCGGGAACGAGCCCGTTAACGTGGACATGGGGCTCCACCTCCTTGCCCGTTTCCCTGCTCCACAGAGATCCCATGGCTGCTGGCTGCTCTTTGCTTGGGTTGGACAAGTCAACCGCCTTGGGAGCCGGGCACAGGGGTCTGGTGACACGGACGGTTTTGGGTGTCCCGTCGCCCGTAAAGGTGGTCTCCAGGTGAGTGGTGAAGCCCTCGGGGCCGCGCAGGATGAGCACCACGTAGGTCTCGGAGGCGATGCTTCTCAGGATCTCCAGCGCCGTCTCATAGCTCATGTCCACCAGGGGCCTGCCATTGACGGCCAGGATGATGTCCCCAGCCTGGATGAGGCCACTCTGCTCGGCAGCCCCGCCCCGGATCAGGTCCGAGATGATGACGGGCGGTTTGCTGACGCGCTCCTTCACCAGGAAGCCGAGGCCGCCCACCTTGCGCTTGAAGAGCCTCACCGAGATGACGTTGGGCTGGATCTGCTGCACGCTGAACACATTCTCTTCCATGGCAGCCCCCTCCTCCAGCCCGCTCTGCAGGACCTCAACACCCTGCTGGGAGCAGGGGAATTCGCTGTCCGAGGGTGGGAAGGAGCAACTCTGGCTCTTGAGGAGCTGGACTCAATGGAAAACTCCCCTGGGCTCGGGCTGCCGAGGGGCTCCCTGCGGCATGCTCGGTGGCACTGCTCTGCGAA